ATTCCACGCTTTGTCACGGTAAGAAGAGTCATCTGTTATGGAGAAAAAAACCCATTAATTACCAAATCAGGAACCCTAGAATCAGTTAGCTGGATCTTTCCTTAATGGAAGCGTTAAAAAAACGCGAACTGTCGAATCGCCATTGGAGGAGAGTCAGAAGCTTTCCTTGAGATTCAGGCAAACTGAATTTGGATATGGAAAACAGATCCGAACTTGTAGAGTTTCAAGAAAATGATATCTATGATAAAATTTCAAATTGGCGGTGGGAAGAAAAACTGGAACTTTTAGCAACCACACAAAAAAACGTTTTTTTTTTTTTTGCAAAACAACGCCAAGAAACAGGAAAAGCTCTGATTGGACGTAGCTTCCACAATCAAAACCCAAATAAAAACGAAGGAATGCAAAGAAAAATCTGATGATACCTTGCCCTTATCGATTCTCTTGACGGCGACACGATCCCCGGATGTTTTGTCGGCGGCGACGTAGGTGTAGCCGAATTGGCCGTGTCCGAGAAGTTCTCCGATGATGTATCGACTGTCGAAATCCTTGGCGTACCCGAAATCGATGCGCTTACCGTACGGGATCCCTCCACCACCGCCTTGCCTCCTCGCGATCTTGTTGCTGTTGATCTTCTTCCTCTCCTGCGACTGCGGCGGCCGTGGCTGCGTTCTCTTGGCGGCGCGTTTCGGAGGGGTGCATTCCTTCTGGATCGACAATTTCATGAAGGAACAGAGCAGTTGCGGTTTCTCCGGCGGCGGCGGCGAGGCATCCCTCGGCGTCGGATTCCGGCCATCGCTTCTGTGGCCACTAACTCTGGCGGAGGAGAGACAGGTTCCCATTTAAGCTATGACCAGAGATTTCTGGGCAAATCTCTCCGGCGTTAACGAGCAGAGAGAGAGATGGGAGGGAGGGAGAGGAGTTAAGTATAAACAAAAAAGAGACCTTTTTTGGGAAAAACAGTTTAAAAAAAAAAATTATTTCGCATTTTAACCGGATTTGAATTTAGTACCATATCTAATCATTATCATTATTGTAATCACTATTGTTATTATGCATCTTTTAATCTTATTTTTTTAAGAATTAAAACACCTTATGACCCCGTTTAAATTACCTATTTCATTAACAGAAACTACCACAAATTATACATGTTTTTTAATCGAACAAAAGCAGCCTAAACTGACGGAGGAATTCTCTTAAAGTTGTCGGAGTTTAGATACAAAAAAAAAGGATTATACTTTCACACAACCCATAGTTACAAAAAAATAAATAAAGATTTAGCGGCAGGTTTTTTTTTTTTTTTTTTTTTTGGGGGATTATTACAGTAAGTTAAAAAAAAAAAAAACAGAAGTTAGAACCAGGGATGCCAAGTGGGGTCCATCATGCACAGGTTACGTGGCGACAATGCAGCTTCTACCAACTCATTCACACCTCTCTGCACTGACTGTGGTGGCTCCACTGCGTTGATATCATCCTTCCCACCCACCAAAAAAAAAAAAAATTCAATCTTTCGACGTAACATCATGGGAGAGAGAGAGATGTATCATGCATGCATGCATGCGTAGACATGCATGTATGTGTGTATGTATGTATATGTGGGCGTACCTCCTCTTCGGACAAGTAGTGTGGGGAAATGCCCTTTATCCGGCCAATGACATCATCGACATTGGAGTCAACCTTGTGTCTGAGATCGGCCGAGTTTAGAGGAGTGACGCCTATTGGTCTTCTCCCGAACCACGACAGCAGTTCGTCCCGGAAGAACATCCCCAGCTGATACCTCAGATGTTCTTTTTGCTGAAACAAATCCAACACAATAAGATGGCTTATTTAGTTCATAACCGAACCGATCCGAACAGAATAACACACCACACACAACCGTAACGAATCAAACCCAATATAAAATCCGGATGGTTGTGTATGATTCCTTTAAAACTGAAAAAATTGAACCAAATAAAAAAAAAATTGACAAAAAAAACTAAAAATTTCTTTAACAAAATGAATATTTTTGTTAATAAAACCAAAATCGAACCCAAACCGCATATAACCGAACCAACCGAATTGAACCGAATACAAAATAACTGAAAAAACCGAAACTTTCTACAAAAAAATTAATATTTTAGCAATAAAAACCGAAACCAAACCGAATGTAACAAAACAGATATAATTTTTCTAAAACTGAATTACCAAACCCAAATATAATCGAACCGAACTCAAATCGAACCTGTGATGTAGTATATATACCTTGGGGGAGATGACAGCTTGAGAGGCGGAAGACATGGCTGAGACGAGAAGACCTTCGACTCCGAAATGAGAGAAGAAAGCTTGCATGTTCCTGGTGAGGCGGAAGGGAACGGGTTCATTAAACTCGATCATCCCGTTCGAGTCGTAGGCCGCTGGGTGGAAATCCATCTGGAACAACTTTCCTGTGTTCTTGGCAAACAGGATCTTGTTCGGTGACCTTCCACCGATTTGTAACATGAACGACATGAAACTGGATACAGCTAGCTGGACAGCGAATTGCTTCTTGAATGCCCACATATGACTTCCACTCATCAATGTCTTGTACATGTACTGTGAAAAGATGCTGTCGTTTACCAGGTTTTTCGCGATTTCGCCATAAGCTTGGAGGCGAATATCGATGATTGCTTCGGCTGAGATCTGCCCAGATACAGCCTGATTGAGTTGCTCCTTGAAATAAGTGATGGGAAGATCTGCTTCTCGATCGTTCCTTGCACAATGATTTTCATACACCTCGAGGAAAGTGTTGTACATTAGATCATCCTCGACCATCCGGACCTGAAATCCAGGAAAACCTGAAAGTAAGCGAAGATAATTCCTGATTGACATTTGAAGAAACTTTTGTGAGATCATTCACCTGAGACCAAACAGGAATTATGATTGGTGTGTGAATTCCTATATGGCGGCGTCTCGACTCTTTATGCTTATCAAACATTTGGTTCATCCCTCGGAAAAGCTGCAAGATTCGTTCGTCGCTTCTAGCATTAGGTGTCAGTGATGTCTGGACAATAAAATGTTTCTGTGATCCATCCGAGCCAATAAGTGTCAAACGCCTGAAGCTGCTTCCGTGCCTCCGGACAATCGGTATGTCTGAACCAACCCTATCCAACTTCACTGTATGATCAGGTGCCACTTCCTGAACAGTTTCGCCATATGATTAGTTTCACAACTTCCCCAAAAAAAAATGTCGCAAAATCTAAATTGCGGGTGCTCGTAAACAATAGATACCTGGTCAGTGAAGTACTGCCCGGGAATCTCGACGTCAACAACTTGGAAGTCACGAAGCACCCGGCTTTCGTCTTCCAACCTTAACACAGATGGAAACCTGTCTTCGACGTTGCTTTGAAGGATGTTTTTCCAGTGTTTCAACCGTTGGGTTAAGTCGGAGAGCGTGACTGGGAACGTAGACGCACTTTCTGGATCGAGGTCACGTTCAAAATCTTGTTTGTACTCCCTGACAAATTCAACATGCTTTGTCACAGCATCCGCCGAGAAACAAGCTCTACAGACACCCGAAAGCTCTTTCTTTAGCGGTTGGGGAACCTCGGCAGTTGTGGCAGTCGGATATTTGTAACATCGATGCAACAAAGCATTCACCACAGCCAGTAGTCTTTCCTCTGGTAAAGTAACAAACCTTGACCCGATTTCTGTGAGAAGAATCTGAATCGGAAGATACCTGATTAGGTTACAGCCAGGAGGCCAGGAAGGAAGCAGAAAACTAGAGATCGAGACTCTGAATGGGATATATCTTTCTAATGAAATTTACAAAAAGAATATCTTGTATATAATTTGGAGAGTTGTAAGGAAAATGGTTATTCAAAGAGTACGAATTACCTCAAGTTCACTCGCCAAGTTGTTATGTTTACTCCTAAGGGACTCCATTATATCCTTTGCAGCATCAAAAGCAGTAGCAGCTGACATTGCCAAGGATGCATTCCGCCGTACCGTGGGTTGACTATTTTCACTGCTGCTTTGGTGCATAGGTTGATCATCATTTCCAGGATTCACATTGTTTTCTGCAGAGGAACGTTCACTTTCTTGCCCATTAGGGTGTACACCATCATGAGTGCTTCCACCAGTTTGAGGGCCATGATGAATTTGAGCCTCCGAGGGCAAATTGCCTCCACCAGGAGTGTTTTGTTGCATCCTCTGTGCCATTACCAGTCTGCCAAGTTCGGATTTATTTACAGCATCACGTCGCTCCAGTAAATATGTACGTAGCCAGTAATAGAGAGCCTGATATGGGAAAATTACCACTTGTTTAGACGATATACTACTATAAAAAAAAAAATGATTTTTTAAACAGATAATGAAGTTACCTGTGGGAATACGGCAGCAATTTTCAATAGAACAAGTTTGCAATGAGGTGCTTCCGTTCTTTGCAGAGAGAGCAAGAGCTGTGGTATCCAAGAAAGCCACACCCAGTGAGGTACTTGGTCCAAATGCTTGTCAAAGACCCTCCCGACAGGCTCATTTGGAGTATCGAAACTAAGAAGGTAAAGAACACGAGCCATATGGCTTCTGGAATTGGAAACACCAAATCTTACACCCTGAAGAAAGCAACTGACGGCATATTCTAGCCAGATTTCATCTTGTGTTTCTTGGTATGCCTACAAAACGAAGTCAAATATGAGGACTGGAAGCATATGTGAGGAGGAGCACTCTGCAAGTATAGGGAATACTTACCATATCACAATAACTCCCCCAGCTTATCCATCCTTTCGGCAAATTCTTGAACAGGGTGATCGCATTGGAATATGCAATGTTGGCACCTTCAGTGTCATTTAGCTTCAGATGAAAATCCCCTTTCAGACGTAATATCTCAGCTTTGTTTTTCAGTGGAAAGTATTCTAGGTTTGTGCTGTTGATAAGATTAAGACCACTAGCAAGCTCTCCCTTCATTTCCAGATAAGCTTTCGCCTGTTCTCTAATCTTAATGAAGGCTTCCTGTACACAGACACACACAAAAGGCACAAGACACTCTTATAAATAACTATCTTTCAACCCTAAACAACAAAACCAGGATAAAGGAAAACAAAAATTGATAGGGAAA